TTAGGTCACCCTTTCATGGAGATGGAGGGCTTTGTGAGAGAGCTCCTTTGCTCATTTGAAGCCCAAGAGACAGTCCTCAGGATCCTTCTGAGAGAATAAATACCAAAGGTGGACTAGACTTGGGCAGACTTCGATGCAGAACACACTGAATGACTCAAAACTGAGAAGAGCACTTTAAAATCATTAACTATAGGGCGCAGAGGTGGCTCAGTCAGTTAAGTGTTTGACTCTTGATTTTGGCTTGGGTCTTGATCTCTCAGTTTGTGAGATCGAGCCCCATGTTAAGCTGCATGCTGACAGTGCAGAGCCTTCTTGGGATTCTCTCTTTCTCTTACCACCCCCAACCCCATCTTCTCTCAAAATAAATAAATAAACATTAAAAATAAATCATTAACTGTAAACTGAGTTTACAAATCGATAAAAAGACATTGTCCCATTGAAAACTCTTGGTGATATGTTGGTAAGACTACGGACTTTCTTGTATATATAATCTTACTTTTTGGAAAAAGAAGTGTTTGCAAGTTTATATAGAATATTAACTGTGGTTATTATTGGATGGTATGTTTCTGGGCTTATCTTTAGACTTCTCTTTATTTTTCAAGTTTTCTGCAGTAAGCATGTACTTCTTTTATCCTCAGAAAAATAGTGATTATAATATAAACAGAATCCTTAAATGTTATCTATGCAGGAAAGGGACTGTGTGCTGTTGACTGTTTTATCCCCAGGGTCTAGAATGTACGTCAGAATCACCTGAGAGAGCTTGTTGGAACTAAAGCTTTGTGAGCCTCAGCTCTAAAGATGCTGGTTCAGTTGGACTGGTAGAAGACAAGGCTGCCAAGGGAGATGGAAGCAGATTCTAGACTAAGACACAGTAAAGAGTATCAGAACCATTGTTTCCCATATAAACTCCAGGTTCTTGTAACTGGGGCAGAATCTGTATTCCAATTGAATGTTATAATTCAGTTTCCCTCCATCTTGGCTTCAATAGTTGCTTTACCTGGGAAGGATGTATCTAGTTCAGGTTTCCCTGAAGATGACTTTCAGGCTCCTGGGACTTGGAAAAGGCAATTATCTCTCAAATACCAGATGGCTGTATAGATTAGCCCCAGTGAGTAAAAACACAGTGATTTGAACAAAATACATGATTAGCTCGTTGAATAACAACAGCCCATCTTAGCATAGGTGTACTAGAAACAAGGGCAGGGTCAGATACTAACGCTTCTATTTTCTTGAGTTCATTGATAATGCATTCAGTATTTCAGTACTATGCTGATGTTCACAGTAGGGAGACATGGAGGAAGGGCTATATACCACAGCATTCATATTTTTAATTAAAATAGCATTTTCATTAAAACTTCATGAAGAGAAAACCTTTTATAAAGGTTCATATAACCCTTATAAGATATAGGTAAAATCTATAAAGAACTTATCAAACTCACACCTAAAAAGCAGATAACCTAATTAAGAAATGGACAGAAGACATGAGTAGACACTTTTCCAAAGAAGACATCCAGATGACTTAACAGACACATGAAAAGATGCTCAACATCACTCATTATCAGGGAACTACAAATCAATATCACTATGAGATACCACCTCACACCTGTCAGAATGGCTAAAATTAACAACATAAGAAACAACAGGTGTTGGCAAGGATGTAGAAAAAGGGGAGCCTTTTTGAGGTGTTGATGGGAATGCAAATTGGAGCCACTTTGGAGAACAGTATGGACGTTTCTCAAAAAACTGAAATGGAACTACGCTAAGATCCAGCAATTGTACTACTAGGTTTTTACCAAAAGGATACAAAAGTACAGATTCATTGGGGTTCATGCACTCCAGTGTTTATAGCAGCATTATCAACAATAGCCAAGCTATGGAGAGAACCCAAATGTCCATCGACTGATGAATGGATAAAGAAGATGTGGTATATATATCCCATGAAATAATAGCCATCAAAAAGAATGAAATCTTGCCATTTGCAACAATGTTGGATGGAGCTAGGGTGCATTATGCTAAGCTAAATAAGCCAGTCAGAGAAAGACAAATGCTATCTCATTTCACTCATTTGTGGAATCTAAGAAACAAAACAGATGAACATATGTGGGGTGGAGTGGGAAGGAAGAGAGAGAGAGTGAGACAAATCATGTGAGACTCTTAAAGATAGAGAACAAGGGTTCCTGGGTGTCTTAGTCGGTTAACTGTCCAACTTTGGCTCCAGTAATGATCTTACGGTCCATGAGTTCAAGCCCCGTGTTGGGCTCTGTGCTCTAGCTCAGAGCCTAGAGCCTGCTTTGAGTTCTGTGTTTCCTTCTTTTCCCTTCCTCCATTCACATTCTATCTGAGTCTCTTTCAAAAAATAAACATTAAATTTTTTTTTTAAAAAGAAGAAACTGAGGCTAGGTGGAGGCAGGGATGGACTAGATGGGAGATAGGTATTAAGGAGGGCACTTGTGATGAGCACTAGCTGCTGTATGTTCTATTCCTGAAACCAGTATTGCACTATATGTTAAATAAAATTTAATCAATAAAAAGACAAAAAATTTCATGAAGAGAGAGAACTCAATGTTATTTCTCCATCTACTTAAAAAGAATAGGAGCATGTGTCTTTCCTGGGAAATTTTCTTCTTTAAGAATTCCAAACAGAGGGACACCTGGGTGGCTCAGTTGGTTAAGCGTCCAACTTTGGCTCAGGTCATGGTCTCCCAGTTTGTGAGTTCAACCCCCACATTGGGCTCTGTGCTGACAGCTCTAAGCCTTGAGCCTTTTTCAGATTCTGTGTCTCCCTCTCTCTTTGCCCCTCCCTGACTCCTGCTTTTTCTCAAAAATAACATTAAAAAATTTTTTTTAAAGAATTCCAAACTAAAAAGAAAAAAAATTCAAACTAAGCATTTTAGTTTCATTTATGACTGCAATAGAAAAACTTATTTACACTGTCTACCTATGCATACACAGAACTATGTTGTATAAAAGACAGTCAAAGCTGCCCAAGTGCGTAAGACTGCCATTCCATTTCTGCTTAGTTACAAAAACAAATTGAAAGTTTCTAATATGCTTCCTGTTGAAAACCCTACTATAGACTCTAGGATCTACAAGCTCTCAATTAACTAAGGTATAAATGAAGAGAGGAAAGATCACAGATGATTTAAAATATAGTTAAACCAAAACTACTCCAAATGGAGTACCAAAGTTTTAATTGTAAACATATTTAGTTCAAAATATATCCAGTATTCAGATACACATTAACATTGTAAAACTGTCATCAAAGCACATAAATAGGTATCGTTGGTATACATGCAGCTAAATATCATTTTACTTCCTCAAAAAAAAAAAAAGGTCAAAATATGAAAATCAGGTTTTAAAAGATTAAAGTCTGTTAAGATATACCGATGAATTTTTGTCGAGAAAGAGAGTTGTCCCCAAAACATGATTGACATATATGTTCATTAATACCTATTTCCAATAGTAGACACATTCTAAAATACAGGTATTGGTGCATAATTGTGGTGATTTTGGTTTTGGTCAAATGCATTATCTATACCTTATGGGGCTCATTAATCTTCATACTGATTTGTCTACTTGTAGACAACAGTTAAACCTCATTATCACCCTAGCCCCTGTTCCTAACATTTACATGTGATGAAGATTAGGCAACTAAAACCATGGGTGTTATTGGCGAGAGGCAGCTCTGTGAGGTGAGTTGGTCTTTTTCATTATTTTACTTACTCATTTGGGAGCGTGAGGTCCTTGGTTCACACTTTCTTCTGACATTTAGATAATTCACCACGAGATAGATAGTGATGGTGATAGCTGGCTTTCCATTAATCTGTGCCTCCATGGTTGTCATTTGTCTACACTTACTAGATTCATGAAAGAAGTTAGCAAAGCTATAGGATAAACAGATAAATATGATATGCTTTAGAGACTAACAGTTTTACTTGAGGATGTTGAGGGCAAAATAATATAAACAAGTTATATTGGTGATAATTTAAAATTATTTTTATATTAAAGTGATGTGTACGTGTTATAGAATATTAAGCAAAATGTACGTGCTTTTAAAGATGAAACAGGAGACTTCAAGGGAATTTCCTGATCAGAGAGGCCACTTTACACTATACCCAAGACTTCAGAATATGGGATTGGGAGGGGATGCTGTGGTATATTATTAGTTCACTCTCCTATTATGTGTTTTTCTGTGAAAAGATTGAGAAGCACTGCAAGGGGCATGAAGAAAAATAGCATAAAGTTTAGTTCAGTAGATGCCCATTTAGTTACAATTAGGATGGGACTCCACAGAGTTAAACTTTTTCTGAAAAAGCCTAACTCTTAAATGAGCCAAGCATAAATCACTAATTATCCTGTTTATGAGGACTCAGTATTAAGAGTTTAAAGAAATACAAATGGCTAGATTATAACAATTTCCTGATAGAGTACCATTACTTTCCTCATTTACTTACTTTAATGTTTCATTTACCATTTTGATGTCAAAAGTTCCCATGACTTATGCATACCTGTACAGTCTTGCTGCTAAAGATTCTCTACAGCTCAGACTTTGATGATGATGATGATGATAGTCAACACCCGCCTAGTGTTGATTATGTGTGAAGCACTGCTGTAAATGCTTTGCATTTAATCTTCACAGCAACCGTATGAGATAGTTATCCCTATTTTTCCATTTTCCAGCTAAGGAAACTGAGGCACAGAGACTTCAGTAATTTTCCAAAGGGTATGTTGCCTAGAAATGGTAGAACTAAGACTGGGCCCCAGGCAATCTGGTTCCAGAGTCCTGCTTTTAAATATTATTTTTCCTACTTCTGATCACCATCCCTGTGCACTGTGAGTGATGTTGAAAAACTGCTTGAGTCACATACAGCATTAACAAATGAAGATCTGGTAGAATTAGACAATCAGCACACAGTAGATGATTCCAGAGAGAATCATTTGTCTAACAAAGGAAATAAAATGAAGCCCTGAAATAGATTCTGTTTAATTACTTTCATTATGGTCCTTGTTTCAGCAGCCCATGTACTAAAATTGGAACGATACAGAGAAGATTAGCATGGCCCCTGTGCAAGTATGACACACAAATTTGTAAAATTGCTTTCACTATGATTGTGCTATGAACATCCTGTATGAAATAAAGGATGTTGTATGGTAGATAGACAGTTCTGTTGGGAAAAACACAAAAGTTCCAAAAAGCATTCCATTTGTTTATTCAGAGAATTAGTGACTTTTTCCCAGTTATTTTCAGATAAAAAAAATATGTATTTAGTGTATGCTTAATAGCGTATGCTCAAAAGTTAACTTCAGTGTAGTTATTGACACAGAAAGCTAGATAACCATAGAAAGTTGATGGTGCCAAGTGTCAGTAAAGGTATGGAAGAGTTTCATTTGTGATTCGGTTGTCCTATCCCAGAAGAGAAGAGCCTGAGTGGCCTTACCTATGTCCTGTCACTCCAGATTTCTTTATTTTTCTTTATCATAAGAGAGGATATGATATTGGGCTATATTGCCCCTTATGATTGCTCTGAATTTGGAAACTGTGTGTGTGTGTGTGTGTGTGTGTGTGTAATTTTACTACTGTTAATAGCTTCCTTCCTTAGATCTATGCTTTTTGAGAATAAAATCTGCATTCTTTCCAAATACTGAATGTTTAGGGTCACTTCATCACTAAAGTTTCCCATCCTGTCCCATAGCCTTGGCTCAGAGATTATCTTCTTATGAAAGACCCCATTGCACAAAGAGAAACACTTTCAGGCACATTTAAGTGGAATATATAAAGATTTTCCAGGAATGATTTTGCTCCAAGAAAATTAAGCTGTAAGCAAACCAAATCCAGAAGCATGAATTTCAGTTAAATGGAGGAGGGATGATTGTTCATTATCACCACATTAATCTCGGATTTTGATCATTCGTATAGAGATTTAACCAGCTAGCCAACATAAAAGCAGCTCTGAGTCCACTCTTTGGAAGTTCTCTTATCAAATAGTCCGACAGTGACCAAAATTAAGTTTCAGCTTTTATGCTTTGGACCCTGAAAATAAGAACGTGGCTAATATTGAAACAGTCTAAATATTCAGAAGTCTTTTTGCCCAGAGCATTGCATCAGAGATATCTTCCCACACAATGAACCTGTGGCAATAGTCTTTGCCTCTAAACCTCAAATCTTCTTTGCCTAGTACTCCATCTAGTAGATCCCACCCTGTCTAGGCAACCCCACCTGGCTTGATCTGCTACCAGGCTGCCGTTAATCTGTCAGATGAGTCAAGGTCCAGTAGTTTCTGCATGCACTTGACTACCAGCTTTTCATTCCAATTTAAATGGAAACAGTCCTTCCTTCCCATTGTAGATCAGTTAACCAGACTGTATTGAAGGCAGAGATTAACTTTTCCTTCCAAGACTGGTAGTCCTAAGCAAAATAAGAAAGATTAAAATTTGCTTTTCTCTAGGAAAATGCATAGGTCTGAGTCTCTTCAGAGAGTTCTCTGAGCTTAAATGTCAGTGGGATCTTTAAAAAGACCTGCTGGGTAATCACCCTTTAGAGAGAATAGCCTGAGAGTCCAGTGCAGGCTTATCACTGGCCACATCTGTGCATTAGTAGACCATAAGAAGGGAATTCTAGGAATACCAGAGTCATTAGGTAGTGTCAAACATTGTCATCTTGCAGTTTTTGTTGTCTGGTGGCTTGAAGGTTCACAGTAAGACGTTTTCTTCCCACGTTTTAATATTCTTGTACCCTTAAACACTGCCTTATGCATTTATGTCTGCCTCAGCCAGCAAAACATTCTTCCCTTATCCCAAAAGCATAGGGCCCAGCTAGAGGTGTGCTGAATACAGCTGTCCTTTCTACAAAGTCTTCTGAAGTCCAGATATGATACTCTTTGTGTAACAGCACCGAAACCAAATATATCTTGATAAGATGATTCTGTGGGAGGTGTACCTGACTCCGTTTTGTCCTTTCTTGCATCAGCATCCTCACTGTACTATCCTCTCCAGACATCTTTCTAGGAATAGCAAATCTTAATCTTTAGCTAGAAGTAGAAAAGACTTTGTAATAATAACAAAAATATTAGTTGGAGATGTTTGAATCCTCGTTCTGGGAATGATAAGTAAGTAAATATATAAATAAAAACAAATAAATGTATGTCTTCACAGATATTATAATAATACATCTTCCCCTCTTTCCCTATAGGTCTGTCTCATTATAGGATGTTATTCTTAAGGTACAGTGGGTTTATGGCTTTAGCACAGGAGACTGGTGAGACAGTGGGTATTAAAGCAGACATCGAGTGAGAAGGCCCATTAAATTATTTTATCTGCTCCGTAGGTGTAGAGAAGACAAACTAGAGGGCCCAGCTCATGAGGTTCTTCTATAGTACAGAGACTGGAATTGGGAAGAAGGAAAACATGATATGAGAAGATAAATGTCTGCCTCTGTCCTGGCTAGGGTAAAGATGGAGAAAAGAAAATAAAAAGAGGAAGGGAAACAGAAATGTGTGCAAAAAGGGCATCTCCCCAGTTGGTTCTGCACTTTGGTGTTGGGAGACAGGACTTCAGAGGAGCACTGCAGACTCAGGGTTCTGCCCCTGTGCTCTTAGTGGGACTGAAGGAACACAAAGGAGCTTTGTGCTCTACAAACTGATATGGAGCAGCTCAGTTATCGTGCAGCAGGGTTGCTGAGGTCAGAATCAGAAGCATCACAGCAGATGTTGGGGCAGACCATTGGGCGGGGGGCTAAATGGCACAGGAGCACACTCTGGGGTCTGTAGCCAGCCAGAGGTGAACAACAAAGGGGCATTGGCAAGACCTATCTGGGAGTATTACTGGAGGCAAAAGAAGGGGCCAGTCTGGTACTTCAGAATCAAGAGGCCAGAAAGACACATGGTGACAGGGACTGTTACTACAGATCACTGGGTGCCAGGCAGTGCATATGAAAGGACTGGCACGACGCCTGATGACTACCCCCAACTCCCATCAGACACTGAGGAGGGCTGAGTGCCAGTATAGGAAGAGCAAAGCTATCAGGGAATCTGAATATTTTCTAAAGGAGCTGTTTAAATTATAATACTGAGCTAAAGTGTAAGCCAGATTGGACATTTAGTTACAGTGAAAGGCATTGTATCAGATGTGATCAGAACCAATTTTTTACAAAGGTTAAAATGAAGAATGATAATTACATTTGTATATATCTTAAACATTTTATTTTAACTTAATGTTAATATACATTCATACAGCATTCTTTTAATGTGGGTCCAACAACATTTCTTCATATATTGGTCTTCTAATTAGAGTTCTTATTTCTAGCATAAAGTACTTCTATCATGCTTTGTCTACAGTTTCTAATTGTATTTTCTTCACTGGGCCAATAACTCTTTAAGCCACTTGCAAAGAATTTTGAGTATGGAATCTTAGATTTTTTTATAGTTTAAAAAATTTTTTACAATTGCCCTGACACCTAATTGAAGTAATTGTTAAAGGAAACACCTTAAGTCTGCTCAAGGCATTCAGTTTAGTTTTCATACAGATAACTCTTTATCTTCACAGTCATTTCCCCCCTATTTTGCAGCATACTTAATGATATTAAATAACTAAAATAACACATAAGGTAGACAAACAGATTTGGGGACACAACTGACTCTTGAAAGCAGACACTGTGGAGACATCCCAGATAGAAACCTGTCACTGGTGAGTGCTCTGCGTACCACAGGAAACAGTATGGTGTGGAGAAGGAATGGAGGGTGCTGGTTAATTCATCAGGTTAGTTAAATGGAGATTGGTTAAGAGCACGAAGAGTGTAACATTTTCTCTGTAACAGCAGATGATGGCTCAAAAGAAAGGCCAAATTAGTTATGGATAGCACTTTAACATTTAAAAATTTTTAATTACATTGTCCCCTGCACTTCCCAGTTACATGCTCTGTGGGTTGAACTTTGAAAAATCCCCCTGTATACATTCTTAATCAAACCATGAATGTATATCGTTAATTTGTACATGGATATTCAGTGAGACACTGACTTTTTTCCTGTTAATCCTTTTCCGTGATATTCTTGATTACACGATAGTCAGTAAACCAGTAAGGTTTTTCTTTCTTGTCTGTAGAGTTCATTCTGGTTTCTGCTTTCATGCCTCCTGGAAGGTTTCTTAAAATAGGATCTTCATTGCTGTATTTGTAAGGTAGTTTGCTTCCTGCCACAACTTCTCAGAATTACAGCTGTCTGCTCTACCACTTAACCTAGGTTTGGGTTGCCTTTGTTGCTCTGGCTTTGTCTGTTCTCTAATTTGTGTCCTCTTTCAGTTCTCTGACTGAAGAATAAATAGGACGGGATATTTTAAGTTACTTTTGGTTGGAAAAGTAACTTTCTGATTTGGGGTCCCAGCTCCAAGCAGTTGTTTCCCCCATTGAATGGACATATCTGTGCTTTCTACTGAATTCTTATACTTCTCTGTCCTTTACCCTACCTGCACTTCTGCCTATCACCAAAGGTGTTTGTGTGTACTGTTTTGTGTCCAGTGCCATGCAGGCTTCTTGTGTTCTGTGCTTGGGCACTATTTATGTATGCAGTAACCTAATTCCTACTCCCTGTGGCCACCTGAGCCTGAAGTGGAGCAGGTGAAAGGGAGAGTTGGTAAGCTCTTCCTTGACATTCTACCCATGGTGTATTCACTTTTCATTTGCAGAGCCAAAGATCCTACAGGCTAACTCCTGGCCATGGCATAGGAGGCAGAACCGTGAGTGTGTGTTGACTTCTCCAGCTATAGGAAAACTTCCATCTAGGAATAAGCAGCTGCCTCCATTATGTTTAGCAAATGAATTGAGGACCTTTTCAGTCTGTCAGAGGGTGCGTATTCCAGAATAGGGTGGCCATCCTTCTCACTTTGGAAGATCAAGAGTAATAACCCATTTTTGGCTTTGATTTTGATATTTTTGCCAGAGCCAATAGTATTCATTAACAACTGTTAAGGATTGCTTCACAGTGTTGGTAACTACTTGTGATCTATTCGTTCTGAATCTTACTTTCAAAACATTGGTGGTAAAAGAGTTGGTTAACTTCCCCCAAACCATTGTAATTAATCTTACTCTTCTCTTCCTATTGTAAATATAATTTGTAAT